AAAGTAGAACCCAAGAGTTCTTTTAAGTTTTCTGTTATAGAGACATGAATAACAGATACACTGAAGTATAATCAAAAATTGGCCTGAAGCGTCTGGTGGCTGGCTTCATTGGGAACTGTGGCTAAACGTCATCCCGATTTGATCTTTTGCTGCAAGCAGACTGGTGTTGCTATCGGAAGACTGTGTGAAAAATGTGATGGCAAGTGTGTGATTTGTGATTCCTATGTGCGTTCCTGCACTCTGGTGCGCATATGTGATGAGTGTAACTATGGATCTTACCAGGGGTGCTGTGTGATCTGTGGAGGCCCTGGGGTTTCTGATGCCTGTTATTGTAAGGAAGTGCACCATCCAGGAGAAGGATAGGGATGGCTGCCCAAAGATTGTCAGTTTGAATAACTCTAAGACAGACCTTTTCTATGAATGCAAAAAATATGCCTTCAAGAAGAGGTGATTGGTGGGTGGCCCCTTCCTCCCCTCCACATCAAGCTGCTGCAGCTGCCAGAAAAGATGCCTACTACTAGCAGCAGAAAGGGAGTAGAGCCCAGAGCATCACCAGGAGTGCCTTCTAGTGTACTGTCACCTTGCCACCCGCTCCTCTCCCTTCACCCAGACACATAGAAGGAATGGAAAAGGATTCTTCACAGAGCACTCCGGTACACTATATCAGAGAAAAATTGATAGATTAGCTAATGGTTTTTCTTGAATTTGAGAAGCAAAGCCCTGTTCTCCATATTGATATGTTCTCCCTCAACCAAGATCTTCTAAAAAGAAATAATATTTTAGTCTTCTGCTTGAGGAGTTGACTGTGAAGCTATGCCCAGTGAAAAACGTGAAACGTGTTCTTGCAGCAGCTCTGGTGGCAGTTATCCTCGAGGAACCTTCGGTGTGTGGTGGGAAGCTATCAGAACAAGAAACGTAGGCATTTAATCTTATAACACTTGTGCTGGTTTCATGTTATTTTCCTTCTGAGAAATTAGAAACCCTTTCTGTTGCTATTATATTAATAAAGTTGGTGTTTGTTTTCTGGTTGAAGAAAAAAACAAAACAGAACAAAACAAAACAAAAAAAACTGTGGTCAGAATAGCAGGTCTTCAAAATATAAAGCAGAAAATAAAATACAGGTCTTTAGGCCGGGTGCAGTGGCTCATGCTTGTAATCCCTGCACTTTGGGAGGTCGAGGCAGGTATATCACGATCAGGAGATCGAGACCATTCTGGCTAACACAGTGAAACACCGTCTCTACTACAAATACAAAAAAACTCAGCTGGGTGTGGTGGTGGGCGCCTGTAGTCCCAGCTACTCAGGAGACTGAGGCAGGAGAATGTCGTGAAACCCGGGAGGCAGAGTGTGCAGTGAGCCGAGATTGCGCCACTGCACTCCAGCCTGGGGGACAGAGTGAGACTCTGTCTCAAACAAAAAAAAACCAAAAACAAAACAAAAAAAACAGGTCTTTATTCTACAATGTGTATAATTATATAATTTCTTATAAATTATAAAATTACTTTAACACAATACACAAAATAATAACAGTAGTCATTTTTTATAATTCCATAAGCATTTTAAATACAGACATGTTAAGATGGCAAAATTATGCTGTGCTATGCAACTTTTGCCTCAATTAATCTACCTCACTAGCTCAGGCTGAATATTCACTCTCTGAAGCACTTCCTCAGGCATGCCAAAAGTAGGACTAGCAGATGAAATTACATACGTGGTTTATCTCTCTCAATCCAATGAAGCCTTCCAGTGATCTTCAGGACAGCCAACACCCACCATGAATAGCATACACCTGGTAACTTCCCTGGCCTTCCATTACATCCACCGGAGGGTAACTCATCCACAAAACCACTAACCAAGTTAATCAGAGTTTACTTGATGTGACTGACTTGGTAATAATCAGGAATTCTGTGCAACAATAAATGTACCCAGCATGGGATTCAGAACCTGGTCTGCAACCAAATCCACCATCAAAATTCATACACAGATAAAACAAATTCAACTGCCTTTTTTACATTAATAGCATCAAGCTTCCCCAGGAGAGCCAGTTTCCACCACACAAAAAGAGAATCTTGTATCAATTTCCCCCTACTTTATAAAAGTAGATTTTTCCCATTCCATGAAACAGCTGGTCTCTCTGCCCTGCACTGTGTTCATCCCTTATCTTTCAGTCTGGCCCCCTCTGGTCCAGTGCTTCTGTATGCTGATAAAACTACCACAGTGCACGTTGGAACTTCCAGCAGACCTTTAGCTCCAGTTAGAGCAGCTGCTCAGGTTGACCCCAAAAGTCTCCAGCAAGAGAACCATCTTCTTTCCATAGACTTGGAACATATTCCACAACTTTTTTACATCGATAACATTAATGCTATCATACAGAGTAAGAATCTGGACAGCACTAAGAGTGTATAAAAGATGAGGATCACGTCTGATAATTAGCACTTATTCTACCAAACTTATGTTGGCAAGACTTAATAAATGTCAGAATTTCTTCGCTATTCATGCAATGAAGTTGTCCCATGAGATCCAATACTGTCAGACCCCAATAGGTGCCACTCATTCTCAAATACTCAGATATATAGTATTCATAATCATCTTTCTTTGAGCCATAGGATGTGATAACAATCAACATGTTTCTCCAATAATAAAGTATCTGGTGTATCTCACTTGATAATAATATGCCCATGTCTAAGAGTGAAAGGCCAAAATCATCTTTAAGCTTCTTTTTATCTGGCCAGTCAGTATGTTTGCAGCAAATAAACTACTCTAGAACTTGACACACTGCGTGGTTTGGAAGCAGATGAACCTTTTTACGTAATACAAAGTTTACTATTGGATTTACCTACCACACTTTTTTTTTTGGTAGCAAGATAAGACATAAGTATAGGTTTGAATCTGGTTATCAACTCTTATTGTACTTAGCCAAAATACAATGGGTAGATACATGTATAATTTGATTATCTGTGGTTCTATTTCTATAATTTATCAGATCTGTTGAAAAGACAGTACCTGGTTGATCTACAAAACTTTAAAAAAATGATTTAATATAGTTGTAGCTATGGGGACAATCACAAAATTGTCTAAGACAATTTTGTATTCTACCTTTATTTTGTGACTTATTGCAAAGCCCCATGTACCTGCTAGTGGTTACCTTTTTTTCATTTTGTACCCCTTCCTAAATGGAGTTAGTTAACCATCTAATCAATTAAAAACCCATAATTCTTAATATACTCATGGGTTACCCAGTCCTGTAGTTCTAGAAGCATTTTGCCAATTTCATATAAAAAATGCTTTGGTGAAATCATGATTTAATCATGTTGGTTAAAAAAACCAAGTCAAAATAGTTAAAAGACCTTTATGCTATTTTTCTAAGATAAATGTTGAAACTTCCAGAGCGTGGGTAATAACATTTAAGATAAAAAACAACTGAGGCAAGTGCTGTGCTAAGCACTTTGTACACATCATTACTTAAATGAAACACAAACACCTCTGGAAAGAATAATTACTACTCACAATTCAGCACAAATATTGGCTCTGATATTTTTCCAGGGATGAAGGTAAGAAACATGAGACCTCTTCTGGGAGAAAGGTCTCCTTTGTGAAGGAGATTCAACAAAAACTTGGTGATGTCAAGAAGACACCAGATACTGCTGTCTTTCCTGGGTGGGGTCACACCAGGGGGGATGTTCAGATAATGATCAGTTGCTAAAAGCATCTACCTCGTGTCCAATTTTTATGTAATAGTAGTTTCTTTGAGACAGCGAGAGTATTTTTTAAAACTGTATACTCTCCAAATATTGATAGCATTCATTATTTTTATTGTGGGGAAAAAAATCTTAAACTGTGTAGCTTTATTTTCATTATTGTTAGTTGCGAAGAACATTTCTCCTTATATTATGGAAGTAAAGTTAAAAATATGCCGTTTTTCTTCTATAATGGACAGAGTTTATGATAGTTGGGGAAGAGTTATGATGCAACATGAAACTGGGGACAAAACTGAAATCTATGAAACAGAGTTGATAAAGTACCCATTGTGATGAACAGATCTTCTTATCTGCAGGATTTTGATGTAGATTCCAAAATCCGTGCTGAGATGCACAGAAGAACAGCTTTCAAAATTCAACAAGTGGAAAAGGAATTAGCTTGGGAAAAAGAGAAACATGAACTCGGCCTAAAGAAGCTAAAGAATCGGTAGGATCCATATTCCCTACAAGCCAAGATGTTTGAGAGCACATGTTTGAATAACATAGTTTATAGTAGTGTCAGTGAAGTGGCCAGATAAGAGGGCTCTGGAAGTACCCACTGAATTGAAACCTCAAGGAATCCTCTTGTCACTGCTACTGATCTCTTACTGAACTTTCTGTGTACTCCTTTCTAGTTTAAATGTGGGAAATTTGTTTAATATTTAGATTTTTAAAATTATATAATACATATTTACTTTGTCTTGATTATTTCATATCAAATTAATTAATGAACATGATGTATTAAGAAATAAAAAATCAAATGTAACCAAAGGACTTTAAACAAAAGACAACCAGAGATGGCTCTGGTTTTATCCTTCTCATGCATCAATTTGACTTCCAGGGGAAATGATTTTTTTTTGCCATTTACTGAGATATAACTTACATAAGTAAAGTACATACATCTTAACATCTTGAAAAATTTTTACAGATGTATAAATATATCTACTACTCAGATTAAGATAGAGAACATTTATAGCACTCCAGAACGTTTCCCTATGTCCCCCTCACCTCAGGAAATACTCTCCAAAGTTGAACCTTTATTGCCATATATTAGTTTTGTTTGTGAATTCCATATACATAGAGTGTTACAGTATGGATTCTTTTGCATCTGGCCTTTTTCTAAAACTCATGTGATGTCTAAGATTATCAATGTTGTTACATGTATCAGTAGTTCATTCTTTTCCACTGCTTTTTAATATTTCTTTAAAATGATTATACCACAGTTTATCCCTTCTACTGTTAATAGATATTTGAGTTGTTTCTGTTTTTTGGCTACCATAAATAATGCTACTATGAACATTGTGTATGTTTTTTGATGGATATAAGTGCTTATTTCTGTTGGTTATATACTCAGTTGTAGAATTGCTGGGCCATAGGAAATATGCCTGTGTAGTTTTGTTAGATCCTGTCAGTTTTTCAAAACGGTTTGAAAATTTACTCTCTTCAATTTACACACTTACCATCAATGTATGAGAATCCCAATTGATCCCCACTGTGTTAGTGTCTTAGAGCTCCTGTACAAAAATACTACAAACTGATTGGCTTAAAACTGGTTATTTATTGTCTCACAGTTCTGGAGGCTAGAAGTCCAAAATCAAGGAGTC